ACACATCATCCATTATCTTAGAACAACAGGAGAATTTAGCTCACCGAAAACACCAGTGCCACTACTCCAGACGGGAGATAAACCAAAAATGAAGCCACTCCGTCACTGAGACTTGTTATACTTTTCCTCGGTTCCAAGTCAGATGTCACTAGGTTTACACTGACTGTTTGTGCATTCAGGATGACTGGGACCCCTCCTACCGATTGGTCAAGTGAATCCTTAACTTGTACCTGTTTGCAGAACAATTCAAATCCATTTCAACAGCTCATCACATCTTTCAAAGCAACCAACTCTGAGTTTTCTTTCTCTCCACCAAGTATAAATTACTTATGTTTAATTCAGTAATGTGAACTGAGTTCTCAAGTCATAGAATGATTCCATCTTATTTAATCATTCTTGAATTAATTTCCTAGTCAACCTAACTCAGAATGTAAATATTCTATCAGCCAAGTAAATGTGACAAAATTATTTACTATCTAACTTATGTATTTCTTTAATTGGATTAGAGTGGGGTAAAGGGGAAAATGAAGAAATTCCTTTTAGGGATGATTCTTTTGAATGTGAGAAACATTAAATGGATATATTTTCTTTCTTGACTTCTACAAGAACATATATATAAATTCCACAGATGAATTATTTTTACATGTGATATAAAGTATATGATGTTTACATTTGTTCTATATACTATATATCACTATATGCATTTTATAAAATATATGACTATTTACATTGTATATATATACATGTATGTGATATATATAATACACATAATATATATTATATATAATATAAATATATAAGGAACTACAAGTATATTCAAAGCTTGCTTGAAGCCTGGTAAATATTTCTTCCAATAAGCCAACAACACTGCAAGTAATAAATTATAATTTTTAATTATAGTCATCCCTGGGTATCCATGGGGATTGGCTCTAATACACACCACCATTGGGTCTAATATGGAAACCAAAATCTAAGGATGTTCATGTTCCTTATGTAAAATTGCGTAGCATCTAAGAATGCACTTGTCCCTTATAGACCATTGTAGAGCATTTGTAAGAGCTATTCACTCTTCCTCATCTCTAGATTACTTATACCTAATACAATGTTAATCTTATATAAATATTTGTTATACTGTATTGCTTAGGGAATAAGACAAGAAAAAAATCTATACATATTCAATTCATGAGTAGCTGAAACCAGAGATACAGAAACCAGAAAATATAGAGTTAACTATATACTCAATTTTTTAAAGCAACACATTTTTCAAAAACTGAAAAAAAAATTGTGCTCTGGCTTTCAAAATTAAGGGCAGGAAATAGAAATGCCCATTTTATAAGTATTCCAGATGTAATAATTTATAATAAAATATTTAAAATAACAAATATAAAATTAAAGGAATATTTCAATCTATACTATCAGCATTTAAGAAAGGAAATGTAGAGGAAAATGAGAAAAAAAAAGAGTCAGAGACAGAGAAACTCAAAATGGAAAAGATAGAAAGCGAAACTGAAGATATAAGACCAGAATTCTGCAGAGCACATCAGAAAACACAGAGATGTATACATACAGAGAAACACACTAGAGGTTTAAAAAATGGTGAGAAAAAGGGGTCTATTTTTGAGGAGTCATAGGCCTAGCTTAAACCTTTCTAGGAACTTGCCATGAATTAATTTTAAATGTTGTAGTTTTTATATTATGGGCCTATGGGCTTTTGTTTATACATAATGTAATACACTAATGTGTATTTAGGGAATGCCTAGCACAAGGCTATCTAACTAAAAACTAGCACATGCCCTAGAGATAGAAATCACTCCCGAGATTGCAGCTGGCCTGTAATTTCCATGCCTGGCTGCATCTGCAGGAGGGCTATGAGTTCCCTCTGTCATGTGCCTCTCCAGCACCCTTCTCCCATTTGCCACCTGCATGTTTTCCACACACAGAAAAGGATGACTAAATAGCCAGGTGAATAGCCAGGGTTTGCCTTGGCCCCATCTACCTTGATGGAATATGGAATCCCAGGTTTCAGAAAAAGAGGTGTAGCAAACAAATTCAACGTGTAGGGGGAGAGGACATATCTGATGCCAGGTACTTCTGCCTCTTCAGAAAGTCCACCTAAGGAAACAGCAGGCATCATGTTAACACTTTTTAGAAGTCTAATAATCTTAAGGGTTACCTACATTGTCACTATGTGCCACAGACTCATTCTTTCAATCACCTTCTTCCTGCACTCGGTCATTTTCCAACAGAATGTAGCTGGAGGTTCTTTGTGGTGGTGGGGTTTCAGAGAGGAATTTGGACCTCAGGAGTCTCCAAAGTCTCAGTGTAGAGACACTGTTGCAGAAGTAGAGGGGAAGGACACCACTTCACTGCAGTGGCCTGAGTTTGAGTTGAACATGTTCAAGGGAGTAAGAAGAGGAAACAGGTAGGCCAGAGACTGGGCTTACAAGAGTTCCTTGTTAGATCAGAAGGACATAGAGAAAAATGGAAAAGAATTAGAAAAAGAGCTTGATATGGAAAGAACCCCACGGGCCCACTGGAGAAATCACGGTATTGTTATCCAATGGTTAGAAATTAAGTAATACATTAAGAATAACATATGAAGCTCTGGTATCCTCAAACTCCTTCCCAGTACTACATCCCTAACGCTCCCTCTACGTATCTTATACTGCAGCTAAACTGAAGGATCTGCTATTCTTAAAGACCAACCTTCACTTTCCTCCCTTTTGTCTGTGGAGGCAGCCCTGCTTCATTCTATGTGCCATTCCTGCCTTCAAACCCTCCATTTGCTAGGATTGATCATTTTCATGACAACATTGCTGCCTTCCTCTGGAGCTCAAGAGCATTAAGTTCATCAATTAGAGCACATACAGAATTCTTTCTTACATTAGATGCTAGTTTATAAGCCACATTAGTTCTGGGATTGTACATCATTCATATTTATAAGCCTGTATATTCAGCAATAGTCTTCAAGTACCTCAAAAATATTGCTTCAACTCAATTTATGGTATTTGAAATAAATTGCAGAACAACAAAAGTAGAAAAGAAACATTAAGGCAATGTTAAAAACAATAGCTAGGGCAACACTCTTCAAAAACCACTGGGAATCTGCTATATGCAAGTATTCAAGAATCGAATAATTAGCTCAATTCTTCAGCTATCATAGAAGAAAAAAATTAAAATGGTGAGAGACCTTAGAAATCACTCTTGGGAATCTAACTCTTATTTTGCATGCACACATACACACACACACACACACACACACACACACACACACACGTGAGCTCAATGTAGTTAAACTATTTACTCAAGGTTAGTTGAATGTTCAATATAAACCTGAAAGAGTGAATAGCATAATCAAGAGATATTAGAAGTAACACAGTTTTGATCTGATTTGCAATAGTAATTAACAACTTCAACCATTGGAGTAGGACTCAGAGCTCTAGACAAGATGTTGAGCATGCTAAGGAAGTAATAGGTGGACACTTTCAAAAAAAGAGAAAAATGAGGGGATAAGCAGTGAAAATAGAAAGAGAAATAAGGTCTAACATTTAAATGGCACTTAGTAGGTGATAGTTATTGGTTTGTTTGTTTGTTTCCCACAGAATTTGAGATTGAACTAAGGCGTTGTGCATGTTAGGCAAGTGCTCTACTACTTAGCTACATTGCCAGTCACTTTCCAATTCTATTTCAATACAAGATCTTGCTAAGTTTCCCAGGCTGGCCTTGAACTTATTGCCCCCCTCACTTAGCCTCCTGAGTAGCTAAGATTACTGGTATGTGCCACCATGCCTGGGAATAGGTACTGCTTAGGTGTTTTGCAAACATTCACCAAAACCCTGTTAGATATATGTTATTTTTATCGTACTCATTTTAGAAAAATATTAGTACTTCTAATTTTAGAAAGAATTCCTAGATTTTATATCTAAAAATGCCTTTAAGAAGCATCTAGTTGAACTCCATCCTCGCATAGGTAAGGAGACCAGAGCAATGATAAGAATAATAGCTTGCATTTGCACAGTACTAGATCAAACATTTTAATACATAATCTCATTTTTATTTTGGTTCTTTCCACATGAGAGTCCTAGCATGACAGATATGCAAGGTAGATGGCCACAGAGACATTTGGGATATCAACCGGAAGGTGTTGTCGCATTTTTGCAGTTGAGATACTAGGGATCCTGTGGCCTGTCAGTGACTGCGTAGTGGCAGAGCTCTGCTCTAATCCAAGTTTTTAATGTTATAAAAAGCTAAAATTTAACTTTAAAAGAAAACAAAATATGAAGAAACTATAGAAATCATTTACCCCTTTATATGCTATTTCCCAAAAGAAAGTTAAACACACACACACGCACACACAACTTACCTGCAGCCTCTACAACTGTTACAGCAATATAAAGGTACTTGTCATTTACATCTTCTAGGCTGTTATATGATAGTTCTTTAATTGCCGTTTCAGAATCAAATGTGATGTGAGCAATTCCATTTATCAACTTTTTAAAAGGAAAAATGGAAGAATTACTTTAGAGAAGAACATACAAGGAAAAAACTCCTAACAATACCTGCTTTGACTAGCCTCTAAATTGAGGGGAAACGTCAGAGAACTGGTTTAGCATCATCAGTGAAGTGCATTCCATGTCCACAATGAAGCCTAAGATGTTATTTTCTAATTTATTTGTATGGAGTTACAGATTTAATTTCTTTTTTTTTTTTTTTTGGTATCAGGAATTGAACTCAGGACCTCGCACTTGCCAGGCAGGCGCTTGTGTCACTGAGCTACATCCCCAGCCCTGGAGTTATAGATTTAGAGAAGTCTTGAACATTTCATGATCCAACAGTTCTCTGAAACCTGACCTTAACTAAGAGTTCATTGGAGTTTTAATTTAATTTGTGCTTCATTGTTTATAAATTTAAACACTAATATAAAGATATACAGGGAGTAAAGGGCTATGAAGTTAAGTGACAGTATATTATTTAATTATTAGTAATAGCTTTGCCCTGGGGATGTGCCAAGTATACACAAAACCCTGGGTCTAATCCTACAACTAAAAAAACAATTTTTACCTTATCTTTTACTTTGAAATTATTTTAGTATTCTGAGACCAGGCATTTTTGTTGTATTTAGCTTGTTTGCTTGCTTGTTTGCTTAATTAAGTTATTTATTCTTGGTGCTAGGTACTAAACCTAAGGCCTAACCCATGATAACTACATGCTCTACCACTGATTGACACCTTCAGCCCTGATTCAGCTTTGAATCTTAGTGTCTGTCCTGGAATCTTGCATTATAGAGAAACATTTAGCTGGGAATGTAGCCCAGTGGTATAGCACTTGCCTAGCACTTGTGAGACCCTGGGTTTGAACGTCCATACTCCAAAACAAACAAAAACATTTTTAGTTATGTCTTGAATAAACCTGTCTTTCTAAAAAGCAAGGGCTGTATAGTCGATGATGTAAAATACATGAATATGCAAAAATAAGCAAACATAGCTGGGCATGGTGACGCACATCTTAATCCCAGCACTTGGGAGCCTGAGGCAGGTGGATCCTTGCGAATTCGAGACCAGCCTGAGCTACAAAGTGAGCTCAAGGCCAGTCTAAACTGCATAGCGAGACCCTGTCTCAAAAAAAAAAAAAAAAAAAAGTAATCAAACATGGTATGAACCCATAATGTAAAAAAACTCAATAAGGAAAGAGGAGATGAGGGCTCTAACCTTAGTTCCATAAACACTAGCCCTTAACCATGGACAAATAATTTCACAAGTATTTTTAAAGTGCCTAATCTTTGTAAGAAAATATTTTGTCTCAGGGCATATAGTGGGAATAAATTAGACCTGTAGAGTTTAAAAATAAACAATTTCAATAAGGATAAAGAAGGGCTTTTCACCTTTAGAAATATTAACATTTTTCTTTTTTTATTAGTATAATTAACAAGTAAAATATATATTTACATCGTGTTTGGAGATACATCTATGTTATGAAATGATTAAAACAATCGAGTTAATTAACATACCCCTCCCCTTATATACTTACAGCAATTCTTTATTTTCTCCGCCTAGACATATTTTATAACAACATAAGTCAAAAATTATTGACATTTTGAACATGATATTCCTTTGCTATGTGGGGGTGCTCTGTGCATTGTGGGAGGTTAGCAGCACCCAGGCCTCTACAGTCTGAGTCTCAGCAGCACACTCTTTGTCGTGACAACCACAGGTGACCCTGGACATCGCCAAAGTTCCCTTTGAAGGTAAAAGTCACCTCTCATTGGGAACCACTGCAGGGACGTGTGAAATAAGCTCTGAGGAGACAGGCGTGGGCTCTACAGGGAGAAGTAGTGGGGGCAGTGAATCTACTGCAGAGGAATGAAGGCAAAAACGGGTGTCGGTGTTGAAATTCACAGTAAGAAGGAATTAGGCAAAGAAGAGGAAGGTGGGGACAGAGGAAAATAGTAAAGACCTGGAGGCAGGGAGTAAGAAAATGGCACATGATCAGCTGGGAAGAAAGACTGAAGCCAAGGAAGGTGGCCTTTATTCTAAAAGTGATGGGAAACCAGAAAAGTTTTAACCTACAACTTCATACCTATAGAGCATGAAGGACTGGACTAGAGTTTTGAAATAACTTTTTCCATCCTTATATTATTTTGAGGTCTAAGTGGACAGGTTGCCTTACCGTTGTGTTCTGCTTTGCTTTTTGCATCATTTCTTTTCGATCATCTTGTACATCTTCTCTTATTCCAAAAAAGACAAAAACTTGAGCCTCGGTGACTACATGATTGTGAAAATACCTGACAAACAATATCATAATATTGTTTTGTTCTCATGGTTACGGTGATAAGAGTCAGATAAAATGTAGATTTAAAATTACTTAAAGCATTTGATATACTTCCATTCACTGTTACATTTCATTCTCATAAAATCACAATAAAAATCTAGAACATGCATTTTTTATTAGTATATAGAGGATGAAAATGCTCATCTTGGTGAAGTCAAAAGATGCAGCCCCAGCCAGCACTACTTCCTCAACGATTTTGATATCAGTGGGGAGCTACTCCCTATTATCTTTTATGTCTTTAAAAGGAGCATGCCCAACCTCACTGTTATGTGAGATTAGTTCTTTTGAAAAACATTTGAACTGTATATTTCCTTTTTCATTTAGAATGAAAGCAAGAATAAAATTTCTACACAGCAAGCAATGCTATAATAAAAGTCAGCTTTCCTTATTAATGGTTTGAACAAATAAATTGTCTTCATTATGAGAAGTTGGGTGCTAGCGTTTCCTCTTAAGTGAACTTTTGACACTGGTGTAGACTAAAAAGTAAACTGCTACTTTCAAAGTAAATGCTTACAGAAGAGGTAGCAGTGGGTAGGGTTGGAAGGCACAGACTCTGGAACCAGGCAGGTTGGGCAACTTAATAGCTGTGTGGTCTTGAGTCAATTATTCAACAATTACATGTCTCAGGTTTTTTTTTTCAGTTTTTGTGCTGTAGGGATCACTGTATTATTTACCTTAGAGTTGTAAAAGAGTTAAAGTGCTAATATATTCAGAGTTCTTAGAAATGACCTTACCTATATAAGTAGATTATTAACAACTACATTATACTTTTATTTTTAAATGACCTGTGCTTTTGTGTTAGGTTGCTTGCGAAACTAATGGCAGTTCTTTTCCTCTCCATGTATCCCCAAACTTTGCCATTCCTTCCTTGCATATAAAGTTGTAGGAATTTATTTCACCTGGGCTGATTTTGTAGCCTGCTTTGGGTAAAAGAATGTGGTGGGAGTGGACAATGAGATACACACTGCGTCCAGTGATTTTTAACACCTGTCAACTGCCAGCCATTCACAGACACATGAGTAAGACCTTTCTAGACTAGGCATCCCTCAGCTGATCTACCACCTGAACGTCACAGGTGAGCCCAACTGACATCAGTCTGCCCAAAACACAGAACTGCCCAGCTCATTTCATAAATGATTGTTTTAAAAGCAGTTAGTTTTGAAAAAGTGATGCAGAATTTGCTAGTTGATTAAGGCATTTTAAAAAAAAAAAAAAAAAAAAAAAGGCAAGCCAGGCATAGAAGCAACATGATTGCAATCCCAGGCAGGAGGATTATAAATTCAATTCCAGTTTGGGCAACTTAATGAGACCCTGTCTCAAAATAAGACCTAAAAAAGGGATGTAGCTCAGGGAGAAGGACCTGTATTCTATCCCTGGTACCCTAAAAAAGAAGTCAGGAGTTGATAGTTTCATACTTTCACATATTGGCCCCACATTCTAAATATTCACACTGAGTTTAAATCTTTAGGACTTTTCTCTTTCTTTGAGGTTGAATAACTAACAAGGCTAAAATCAGGATCAACTATCATCAGAACAGGCATATAAGCTATCCGTGTGATGCCTCCTCAATCGGTCTATTTCAAAGTCATGGCAGATTTGCTAAGGAATCCCAGATCCCGCTTTGGGCAACTACCAACAAGCAGAGTTAGCACTCAGTTTAGCTGATATGGGGATAAATAACTTTCTTACCTTGCTTTTATAGTAATTTCAAAATTCTTAAAGTTCTTGTAACCAATGACATTACTTTCTGGTTCTATTGAGACAGAAAAACGTGGCAAAACTGAAAATAGAAATGAAGAGGCAATATTACCATGTAAATTAGAGTAGCCTTTAAAACACAGCAAACAGCTACTTTTCTCTGGTAGAGATGGAGAAGCTGTAGCATCAGTACAGCATTTACCTCATCATCACCGTTATTATCATCATCTCTGAGACTTTCTAGTCCAGCCAAGTCAACCCAGCCTTGATGTACCAGCAGCACTTGGCTTACGTTTTTTTATGATAGCACTTACTATTCCTTCTACTAGAGTATGGGCTTCTTAGAAATAAGAAAAGGCCATTCTCTATGTTTTTCTTCCCTTTCAGTGCTCTCATATGTCTTAAACACAGTATATGTTCAGTGAATGTTCACTAAATTGATGAGGAAAGAAAATTCTGGTTTATTTAGCATTTTCCTTTTTAATCTCATAGCTAAAAACCATCCAGTCCAAGTCAGCATAACCTTGATGCTAGAGAAAAGAAAGATTACAGTTAGGTATAAGAAAGAACATCTTGCTCTTGCACCTTGCCATTTTCTATTTTATTTTGTTTCTGTGTTGAGTCTTGTAAATTTTTATAATAGATAGCTTTATCACTAGTGTGAGGCCTCCATAGGAGATGTCTGTTCTTCGGGGATGTCTTCTAGGTGTAGGAGATTCTTGGTTTTTGTGTCTGTCCCGAGATCCTACCTTCCCAATTTATTAAGGATGAAATGTTGATGTATATTTGGCTCAGCCCCCAGTCCTGTGGTACTGGGCTATGGAGATGGTTATTACCCCAGACATTGGCAGTGTTGTTATACAAGGGAGAACAACTGATTACAACAGGCAGGACATCCTAGCTAAAGTAGTACAGTTAGCAATAGCAATAGCATCAAGCACATCTTAGAAACTAAAAAACTGTGGTAACTATTAATTTGGTACCTTTAACCATAGGCTCAAGACCTACAGTTATATAACAAAACCCAACATAAATTGGGAACTTGTATGCAAATGGTTTCCTCTTGGTAGAGTGGTTTTATCCTGTGGTGGGGAAATTTAAGAAAGATAAGGAGCAAAACAGAGATAAATGAAAAGAAGTATAGTAGAAACAAGGCTACAGCACAAAGGATGATCATGCAAGCTTTAGAAAAGTAGAGGAAAGGGCAGAGAGAAAGAATGAAGTCATAACCAAAGGATTATAAGGGTTAATATCTAGAACATATAAAGAACTGAAAAAAAAAAAAAAAAAGATCTCCAAAATTCAAAGGTCCAACCTAGAAATGGACATCTGAGGTGAATATACACTTCTCAGGTGAGAAAGTAAAACAGCAAATAAATATGTGAAAAAATGTTCAACATCACTGGTCATTCAAGAGATGCAAATTAAAACAACAATGAGATTTTATCTCACTCCAGGAAGAATGGCTATTATCAATAAATCAACCAATAACAAATGCTGATGGGGCTATTGGAAAAAAGGAACCCTTCTCCATTGTTGTTGGAAGTGTATACTGGTACAATCATTGTGGAAACCAGTGTGGAGATTCTTCAAAAAAACTAGGACTAGAGGTACCAGTTGACTGAGCTATTCCCCTTCTTGGTATCTTCTCAAAAGAATCAAAAGCATTATACCACAGTGATTTATATGCACCAATGTTTATAGCAGCACAGTTTGTTAAATCTTTGAAACAACCAAAATGCCCATCAAGCAATGGATGCATTGATGTGATTTGGATGGATGCAATGGATGTGATTTTTTTTAATATAATGGAGTACTACTCAGCCTTAAAGAAGGATAACTTGAGACATTTATTGCTAAGTGGATGGACCTTGAGACCATATTCTTAAGTGAAATAAATAAAACACACAGGTGTAAATATCACATTGTCTTTCTAATGTGAAAAACTAAAAGTTTAAATAAGAACAAAATTGTTCAATAGATATTGTGAAATAAGAAAAAAATTGTTCAAAAGGAAAAGGGACCTATGGAAGGAGAAGGGGAAAGAAAGGAAGGGGAAAAAAAATGAGAAAAGAAGGATAAAATGGAGACAAAGGGTATTAAATAAGGAGGGGAGAGAGGTTGAAGGGCGGGGAGGGGAATGGGAGAAAAAATTACAAATCAAGGCATATCATGTACAGGTACATTCTCCATGATGAATGTGATCATTGTATATACTTAAATTTTACCTACAAACTTAAATTATAAAAAGTTAAAATGGAGATTAATAACTCAGTACAGCACATATACCATGGAACTAGCACATAAAAAAGAATATCAAGGCAAAAGTCAAAATTAAGGCAAAAAACAAAAAAGAGAAGCTGTGTTTTTTCCCCCTGATAGCCCAAGGGAAAATAATTTTTGTTTGTTTGTTTTCTTCCAGTACCAGGAATCGAACTCACGACCTCATGCTTGCCAGGCAGGCACTATGCCGCTGAGCTAAATCCCCAGCCCCTGGGGGAAAACAATTTAATCTCTTGAAATGGAGCCATCTTCTCTTCATACTAACTCAGACTATGAAGGGCTTGGATTCTAATAACCTACACTACAGTTAATAGAAAACCAGGTGATTGGGTGAGCCTGATATCAAGGACAAACAAAGACAGACACACAGAGGAAGTGAGACAGATGACTTCAGATATGGTTCATAGTTTTCTAAATAATGAAGGCTAGAAGTAAAAGATCACGGTGATTTTTTGTTACTCTGGACTGTGTTTCCTATGTGACTGAAGACCAAAGCAGGTGTGTTTTCTCCAGGATATGATGTGCCTACCAACGGGACCATACCAGTGAATAAGACGGACACAAACTTCCCCTCATGAGTTCACAATCAAAAGGGAAGACAGACCTAAGTAAATAATTGTGCAGATAAACATCTAACCTTCAGTGATGAGCACTGATATCAAGAAGTACAGAAGATCCTCCCCCAGAAAGAGAACTCAAGGAAGTTCTATGAGGAAGTGGCTTTTAATGTGAGACCCCAGCAAGAGTTGGCTGAGGAGAGGATAAAGAGGAACATACTGAAGGCAGAGAGAACACCGTGTGCAAAGCCATAAGTTCTGCAAGCAAGTGAGTGAAGAGTGAACAAAATAAGACTGAAGGGGAGCCAGGCAGGGACCAGCTCAACATAAAGATTTTGATTCTCATTATCAGAGCTACTGGGGACTTCTCAAACACAAAAGAATGTGATGATACTCTCATTTCAAAATTATTCTGGCTCACACAAGAGTGCCAGTGTCTCAGCTTGGCAGCAGAGACAGCAACAAGGAGGCTTTTGCAGTGGTCCAGGAGGGAGCCTGGTGATGCAGAGGGTGGGTGAACTGTAGATATATAGAGAAAGTAGCAAAAGCTCCGGAGGTAGGGAGCCAGTTAGATTATGTAGTATGGAATATAAAAAATGACCTTAAGCCTGGTGTGGTGGTACTTCTTACTCCAGGACTCTGGGAAGATTTCTGGAATATGAGGCCAGTCTGGGCTACACAACTAGTTGAAGGCCAACCTACAGCTATATAGCAAGACTTTGTCACACACACGCACACACACACACACACACACACACACACACACACATAGAAGCAAACTTCAATCAAAAGGCAAATTTGGTAACAGAGCACACAGACACTATAGCAAAATACTTCAAAAATGGTTACTTCAAACTATATATTAATTATCAGTCCATTCATATGATTAATTTAATAATTAAAAAATATCTTAAATTTTCAAAGTAACATTAGGGATTTGTGACACCCCCCCAAAAAATAACACTGGACTAGGCATAAAATAACCCAACAGTCTTTGTCACTAATTATAAGACTTGAGTGAATCATTTATTTGTCTCACTAAGTTCAGCAAACTTCATATCTCATTATTTCTCCTGAAATTATAATTCTCAAAAGGACCTGAATAAGTGAAGCTCCTCAGGGAACTAGATCTCTTCCAGCTGTCTGACAAGGAACACAAGACCATGTGTTGGTCACTTGCTGAAGGTTGGCGTGGGCTAACTGGACCTAGAACTTAGGCATTCAAACCACCAACACCTCCCCACTCCCCACCTGCAGCCATAACTTCCAGCCATACCAAAAGCTTGCCTCCTCTTCACGTGGAAGTGATATGCATTAGATATATCAATGAATAGAATTTTTGTAAACATTAACTTTTTATAGGTAAATATAATTGTCAGAAATTACCATATTTTTGGATTTCAAAGTAGGTGGTTCCAGTTGTTGAAAAGTTCTCCTTATATTTAGCCTTAATTGTCCACACACCGTATCTGTGGAAGTAAAATACTGTAAATTATAGATGTCATAAAATAATTTAAATTCACCCAGAGGAAATCTAATAAATTCCTATTTTTAATTTATTAGTTTATGGCTTAAATGTATTAAACTATGTTTAGATATATGTAGCCTAAGTAAGCATTTGATTTGGGAGAAATTTTTAAGTAATGAACTGAAATTATTGAGCATTTTCAGATTTTAGTTTTTCATACGTTGCTATTTTTCTTAATGTAATCATTACCTTTGAGAAACTGATGACAATTTAGGAATTTACTTAATCTTATTTAAAGAGGAAAATGACCTGCTTAATAACCTTCATTCAACATTTTTGTTCCTACTGCTCAATTAAGAACTGAATATAGCCAGGCGTGGTGGCCCATGCCTGTCATCCCAGCACTGGGGAGGCTGAGGCAGGAGGATTGTTTCGAGTTTGGGATCAGCCTGGGTTACAAAGTGAGCTCAAGGCCAGCCTGCCCTGCATAGCGAGACCCTTTCTCAAACAGAAAAAAAAAAAAAAAAAAAGGAACTGAAGATAGAAAATGAAGAAAATGGAAGAGCTGTGGTCTTTCACAAAGTTAAGGGTCCATGCAAGTTAAATTTTTACTTTTCCATTGACTAGCAGTTTTGATTCAAGCAAGTGACTTTTGCGAAATGAGAAAAGTTAATACTGACCTTCAAGATTGATTATGTGGTCAATGGATGATAATATGTTATCAACATTAGTCATATATTTGACATCTTTACCTCTAGTCCATTGCTTTTTTCCTTTGTTAGGGATTTGCCTTCACAGATCCCTAACATATTAACTTGGAAATTTAAGATACTCTTCTTGAAATAATTTATATTAGTGGACCAATAATTAACATCTAAATAACTTAATCTCACCACTGTTATTATACTAACATTATTACTGTTCTCATCATTATTTCAAAGAGTACTCGCCAAATATGCATTATGTCAAAGTAGTGAGAAATAAAAATGAGCAATACAGACAAAGCCCCTGGCCCTCCAGGAGTTTATAATCTAGTAGAGGAATAAAAATGGAAGCAAATTAATAAATAAGTAATTATGACATGAAAGTAAGTGTCACAGAGAAAATACACAAAGCAGAGAGATGGAGAGAAGAGAGAGTCGAGACTACACTAGATCTTGTTCAGGGATGGCCTTTTTGCAAAGGCAATATTTCCCCTCTGTCCTACAGATGAGAAGCTAACCATGGGAGGAGCAAGGTGAGCACATTCTAAGCAGGTTCATAGGTTCTAAAGTGAAAAGGTGCTGGTCGTGATAGACTCCCATGGCTGATCCATGATCTGCCATCAGACAAGGAGCACAAGACGAAGTCAGAGAAATGAAGACAGTAGTAAACGAATCATCGGTTCAATTCTATACTGCTAAGCTTGTGGAACTTTCAAGAAAGTGTACAGTTCTTCAATTATCCAAATTATCTCAATTTCCCAATTCCAACCCACAGTTTTAGAAAAAAAAATACTAGTACAGTGAGCTAACTGAAAGCTCCTTTCTACATGGTAAAGGAAATGACAGAAATATTTCACGTTAAAGTATATTGTAGCCATTGTTAGGGGCTTTTGACTTGTACATCCTACTCTAAATCCTTGAAAGGAAGGATTACGATTGTTTCTGTTTTGCTTCTCTCCTATTGTGAACTGTATGTTCCAGTAATTTATTCACTAAATATGTGCTGCATAGAACTCTGTTTAAACATGTTCTAAAAATGCTTTCACATGAGACCAAATAGAAGGAGAAGGAGAAAGAGGAAGGGGGAAGGGGAGTGGGGGGTAAGGGAGGCGCAGGGGGAGGGGAAGGAGGAGGGGAGAGAGAAGAAAAGAAGGAGGAGGAGAGGGGGGAGAAAGAGGAAGAGGGAGGGAAGAGGGAGAGAGAGGAGGAGGAACAGCAGAACGAACAAGGAGGGGGAGGGAGAGGGCCTATCAGAGGCAGGGAGTATTGGTTTTGATGGAGAAAAAAAGAAAAAAGAGGAAGACTGACTGGGAACACCTTTTCCCTCTTTCCAACTTTCATTTGTATATACAAAAAGAATGGATGAAAAGTCTGAGAAAATATTTCTCTTTCTATTTTTTTTTAAATTTTAGCTGCAGAGGGGGCAGTTTGTTGCCTAAGCTGGCCCAGAATCTGGGCTTAAGCGATCTACTGCCTCAGCCTCCCAGGTAGCTGAGACTACTAAGGTGTTGGGCAAGGAATTTTTTTTTTTATGCCAGCAACTGAGCCTACCTTCTCGCTAGCCTTGAAAAGATTTTACATATCCACATCTGTAGCACTTTGTTAGCCCTACATGACTCCACTGATTGCTTATCTGCTTTAGGGGGAAAAGTTATAGATACACATTTTAAACAAAAAACAAAACAAAACTGTGTTAACATATTATACATACTTAGGATTAGATAGAATCTTGAAGTCAGGAAAAGAGATAATTCCAGAATAATCATTTTCTTCTACTGTGTCAACTTCTAATCCTTCAGGATCCTTGGAATAAAACAAATGCCATTGTCTTAGTTCATTTTCTGTTGCTATAGGAGAATACTGAGTGTGGGTAACTTACAAAGAACAGAAGTTTATTTTGATGCACATCTCTGGAGGCTTAAAGTCCAAGAGGATGGCAGTGGCATCAGGCAGGGCCCCTCCTGCCGCATTTTATGGTGGAAAAGAGACAGGGAGAGCAAGCCCATTTGTAAGAGCTCACTTTTATGACAAAGTCATTCCCAGAGAATGACTCACTCTAATGAGAAAAGACTTAATTAGTTCCTGAGGGTGAACCCCCCTGACCTAAGCACCTCCCACTGGGCTCTTCCTCCTGCACTGCCATATTGGAAATTAAGAGTGCATACCATGATTGCAGCCGGGGGTAGGGGGTGGAGGGGGAGGAGAGGTGGGACATGTTCTAAGCATAGAGCCACATTTTAAAAATTTAACTGATTATATATATTCTTTGACGTACAATACCATTTACCAACAAATACTCATACTGCAAATTAAGTATGAAAAACACAATTTGATTAAATATTATGGAAAACAAATACAGTTCATTTAAAGCCACTTCCCTCCATCTTTTTTGTACTTTCTCTACTTTATTATCCAGAAGAGATTGTACTCTCTGTTCTACAATTTTAAAAAGAAGTACAATAAAATATAAATAACAACAAAATAACTGATGGTTTTTAATAACCTAAATGTCAACTTAGGCTTTATAAATACCAGAATCTAATTTGAAGTTTTCCAAATTAAGTATTCTATAAACTGTATTTTCTTACTAGACATTTGATAAATGTACAAATCGATGCTTTGAGCTTGATAAAATCCTTAAGATGATTAGGAAAATTTGAGGATTCTCATAAAGCAGAACCATAAGGTTATTTGTTTTCAGTTTAGCAAGTTATCTAGATGAGGTTTCAACTTTCCTTAAACAGATGGAGATTTAAGTTAAAAAGAAAAGAAACATACCATAACCAAAACTGATGATTGAAATTTTAAGGTACTTTTGTTTTTAAATTACAAGTTGTAAAACATACAAAAGTGTATTTTGAAGAACAGCACCTGTAGTAGGTATCTTTCTGCCTGTTCTTCATCTCATTATCAGGTACGGGCAATCCGTCTGAAAGGGTCTCTTCCTGTGGCCCTGGGCTAAGCTTCCTCAGTACTCCACTGCCTGCCATACCAGGGCTGCACTTTACTAAAATTCAGCTACAGGGACATGGGATACAGACTCTATCTCCACACCTCTGGTGTTCTTCAATGGAAAAAAGAGCATTCAAGATGACGTTGCTTTGCTTGGTTCTCTTGCAGATGTTCTGTAGGTCTGCCACTTTATTTACCATTCTCATTTTTTAATACCTAGTCTCATGGTCTTTCTGTTCCCATAAATTAACTCATGCTGTTCAATACATGAAATGGCCTTCATTATTTTCACAGAACCTGTGTGAATTCCCTTCATGGAGGAAACCCAGATCAAAGTTTCCCTTAGTTATCCCATCACAGGTAAGGATTATATCACTCCTCACTCTCAGCCATATTTTGTTTTCCCTCCGACTTTCTGTATCATTTGCCTCAATACACACATTATTTGGGTTATATTATAGTATGGTTTTGTTCTCTAATATCTACTCTTTTGTATGTTGCTTTCTAAGTTTGTCTGTTTGAGTAGCAAAAAGATATGGCAGCCTATTGCATAAAACCATTACTACTACACCTAATGTTACTAAGTGAGCAATTACAAGTTGTGATATTTTATTTCTCCACACACACAAAAATTTAAGTGTGAAAACTGCTTAAAACTATGGGATTTATTACAAACTTACAAACTGAGTAAGACCACAGGTTGTATTCTGGCCATCCGTTGTGCTTGTCATATCTGATTAATAATTGATAAATGATAACCCCAAGTTTAGCCAAATTTTCCACATGTATTAATGTAATAGTTACTAAACTTTGAGCTCCTTAAAAGTAAATAGCAGGGAGCTGGGGATGTAGCTCAGTGGCATAAGTGCTTGCCTGGCAAGGCTGAGGTCATGAGTTCTATTCCTGGTACCCCCCCCCCCCGCAAAAAAGTAAATAGCATGGATTATAATTCTTTGTCTTATTTTATACAATTAAAGATTTTTGTACAGAGAGCTATTCAATTCCTAATCAGTGGGCTTTACAAGTAATCTAAGGGCTTAACTCAAAATCCATCAAATTGTTGGGATTTAATGTTTATATATGTCTATTTGTAAATGTAGAGATCTATAATGCTATATTCATGATGGATGTTTAATAATAATTTATGAGATATGGAAGGAATTAGTGTAGTGTGAGGTCAGGTCCTCAAAAGTGAGATAAAGTCTTTTTAAATAGATAAAATACTTACTATGAAAGTTAAGACAGTTTCTCTTTTGGCTGGCTTCAGGTCATCATTCAGGGAATAGACTGTAACTTTTACTATAAGAGTAATTGATATCATTAAAAATTCTGCTAAACACAAGAATATTTTGATTTTTTTAAAACAATCATCCTTGAAGAGCTAAATCTCATTTAAAATTCAATACACACAGAATACATATTTATTTGTTTGTTTTGTTTTTTTCTCTGGTACCGGGAATCGAACTCAGGACCTTGTGCTTGCCAGGCAGGCACTGTGCAGCTGAGCTAAATCCGCAGCCCCCAGAATATATATTTAAAAGAAAGAAAATGTTAGTTAGTAATATATGTTACTGAGAAATCTTAAGAGACTACTGTGGAATTTCTTTAAAGAGCTACCTCTAGAATTCAAAGTAGAATTGACTTTATTAAAATATGTTTACATATGAATTTTTGGGAACACATCCATAGTACAAAATTAGTTATCATTATTAGTTATCATTAATATTATAGTACCAAAACAGTGGTGGTTATATGGAGTATAAAATATTGTCTTCTATTAGGGTAAAGATTTTAATGGAAAATTAACAATTTGATTAGACATTGTGTACTCTTCCACTTATGAAAACCAACAAGGCTCCAAATTAGTTCTTATCGCAAAAGACAGCTTTGAGAAAGTAAAAGTAACCTGTGATTGAGGTTGTGATTGTATAGCTTTGTCAAGGTACTAAGGTCTGTCGAGTCTTGCATTTTAAATTGTGAATTGTGCAGTATGCAAATTTTTGATTGAATGAAGTTGTTTTATTTAAAATAAAAACACAGTTTTGAACTGCATGGTTTTATTATATTTATTCAGCAAATTCTGTAATTGCTCAATAAATATAATTGATATCTCATTGTGAAAAGAGTAATGACAGGACTTAGTGCTATTAGTTCTCTACCATTTCTTTCTGACAATTAATAAATCCCTGCTTTTAAACAAAAGCCTTTGTTTAACTTTTAACTCATACTTGTTTGATACATACTGATCTAGTTTCTTCCAGTGGCATATTATAATTTCTCTAAGGTTTTGCAGATGTTCAAATTATTTCATGGCCAAAATTTTGCCCACAAAATATAACAGATCTCCACCACAAGCCCCATATCTTAGAGGGTGAATATTTTATATATATATCTACAAAGAAGCCACATCAAAACTAATCTTAATAAGCACAGAAGATGAAAGCAATATACTCAGTAAGTGTCTTACCTTCTACTCTGTCCTTCCTCTTATACCTGTATCCCAACTTGAATCCTCTCTCCTGCCTTGTGAATACACCCAGGCTAGGAGCAAGCATTCCTAGCCTAGGGAGGGGGTGGATTTGATGGTGAAGGAGAACAGGAGCAGAAAAGGCTGCTTCTCACAAGGATCACAGAAAGGGTGCAGTAGGAGTTAACAAGACAAAGGGGGGACAGGAAGGTACTGGGCAGAGATAATGGCACATTAACGCAGGCCTTGATGTGGATGAGAAAAAGATGGAGCAAGCAACTGGAATGAGGCCAGTTTGACTTGAGTCCCATGCTGAGAGGACTCATGGTAGGTGATGAAGCTGAGGAAGAAATCAGGACACAGGCTGTGTGTAACTCAAGTATTTGGGCCAATATTCTAATGTTCTTTATGAAGTCTTGGAGACTCAAGCCTTCATCCTAAAGATGCTCACACTAAAAATCCTTCAAGGACATTCAGATCAAACATGAAGTCTACATAAACCTTAATTTTGGGAAAGGGACATAGCTCAGAGGAAGATTACTGGTCTAGCATCTGCAACACCTTGGGTTTTATTCCTACTAGTGCAAAAAGCTTGATTTTTATGTATACCACTGAAATAATAAATCAACACACATCAACAGGAAAATCACTAAGGAAGAGAAAAGATTTGGACATGTCTTTAAGGTAACTATGAAGCAAAACATCAGGTTACAGATGCTAAGTGTACTGTTAGACAGGTCTGGAAATCATAAGGAAAAATAGCTGTGGAGTTGTATATCTGATGCTTATCAATATGCTGCATAGGTGGCAAAAGAAGTCATGGAAGTAAATGACATTTTCTGAAGAAAAAATAAGAGTTAGAAAACTGCCATTCATGGGAACAACTGTTTATAGGGATGAATAATGGCCATGAGCCAGCAAAGAGGCCTGAAAAGGAATAGAAATAATAAAATATAAAGGAAAATTTGATGAGGATGATGTTATTAGAAAAGGTTTTGATCAGTAGTAAGAGTCATAGAATTGATAATGGAGTAGACGATATAAAAGAGTAATGATGAATGTAATGTTGCTTATGGTGATGAGAATGTTTGTAAAGCTGAAGAATTATTAAAAATATCCATTTAAAAATATGTCATTCAGGACTTCAGAGCTATAAACACCAAAATTTGATCGATTTTTAAAAATGACATTTAAGTAAGTCTTTTCCTTCTGTGTAAATAAGACTTTGTAGTATTCCACAGATTAGGCAGTAATGGAAAACAATTTCCTAATACTGATGTGTTAGACACTGTTTTAAAAGCTTCATATATAAGAATTCACTTTGTGCAGTTCCATCAGGTAAGTTGTATTATTGTCTTCATTTGGCAGATGACAAACACGGAACTTTGAGAGTCCAACTCACACAGTTTCACGTAGCTAATAATAGGCCAAGCTAGGATCTGAACCAAGATATGCTGGCTGTAGAGTCTGCTTTCACCACTATATTTCACTACCTCTCACCAATGGGCCAGTAATATCCAGAGGAATTTCTTCAGTTTTCCTCTATGATTAGAACAGATGGAGTTACTTTATCTTTTTACAGTAAAGTCCTGATAAAGAAGCAGTAGCGGAGCAGTTAATCAGGGAAAACCTGGATAACTAAGAAGGGTCCCAGGCTCTCAGCATTAGACTATGTACTTATTGGATAATAACTGATGACCCTAAGTGTGAACAGTGTAAATAGTACCCAATTAATGAAGCATCCTCTAATATAGAAGGAGGACAGGGAGAAGGGCATGCTTGTCTCTAAGTATGACTAAATTTAAAAGGACTCACGCCTTATGAGCAGAGACTATTGCCTTGCATACCAAGTCTCCTTCTTGGAGTCAAGGGATGGTACTACTCTGGATATGACATTCTAAGCTGATACCCAAATCCTCAAGATTCCTAGGCCTGTCCTTTCTGAGCTGATCATAAAAGGTGCTCCTGCCGAAATGTTCTCTGAGGAGCTCCTGACCCCCTCACTGTTGTCATCAGGAACACCAATCAACATTCAGCAAGTACCCACTACACGCAGAGCTTTTCAACAAAACCTGCTGTCCTGTCTCCTTTTCTCTGTCCTTCCCCGCCAATATCATTAAATATTATGACCTCTGCCTTGCACACACATGTGGCATAATGCCATTTCTGAGGTGCTTAAAGAGCAATGATGGTGAGAAAGAGAGATAAGAAAATTGAAGCTTTGCAAACATGTGTCTATACTAGGTAGCAGCAATATTTTCTATTTTCCTTTTGCTTTACTGGGGGGAAAATCTCAGTACTCCTCCAACAAAAGTTTTGATTGGCTGTTCTTCTCTCCCCCCCGCCCCAAGCTAACAGAAGAACTGTGCATTGAAAGTGTTTTAACAGACACTTTCTCAGGTCCAAATCCTTTGAAAACTGTGCACTTTTGTGACCAATTTATTCTTTAGTTTTCCCTATGTGGTGATTAATTCCAGAGTCAATGAAATTTTCCATGAACATGGATCTAGAATAATGTATTTTCCATTTGCCAAAATTTTTTGCAATTAAGTCCTCTATTCGTTTAGTAAATTCTAACATAATATGTTACGATGTTTAAAAATCTTTTTTCCTATTTTAAAATAACTGATAGGACTGATAATGTAATTTTTAAAAAATTTACAGCTTTATTTATTTATTTATTTTGTCTTTTTTGAGACAGGGTTTTGCTATGCAGTTCAGGTTGACCTTGAACCCATGGTGATCCTCCTGCCTCAGCTTCCCAAGTGCTGGGATTACAGGCTTGCGCCACCATGCCCTACTGTAATTGTTGTTTTTGCAATTTACTTAGCAAATTCTCTATAAATTTAAAATTAAAGGGGCTGGGGGTTTAGCTCAGCGGCAAAAGCGCCTGCCTGGCAAGCACAAGGTCATGAGTTCGGTTCCCGGTACCAGAGAAAAACCAAAAAAAACAAAAAAGAATAAAATTAAAGTGCTGTTTGAAAATATAAAAGTCATAGGAATTCAGAATCTTTTGCACAAGATGAAAATCTGTCTCTGTTCAATTTCAGGTGTTTTATAATACAACGTCAGTTTCTCCCCCAAGAAAACAGCATCTAACTCTACCTGATTCATGTGGAGCATAAACAGGTTTGTCTGTACGAACGAAGAGAAATCCATTGTCATAGGTTACTGGAATTTTTTTCAATTTTGAAAAATGCTTTGATACAACTTCTAGATACACATACGAAATGGAGTTTTGTCCTCCAGGCAATTTCTTGGGTTGTATCTGTAAAAGAAAACATTGATGAAAAAGAGTAAACTAATTCTAAGGTTAGAGGCTGGGGATATACCTCAGTGGCACAAGCCCCTGCCTGGCAAGCACAAGGTCCTGAGTTTGATTTCCGGTACCAAAAAAAAAGAATTCTAGTGGTAGAGAGCATGTTAGCTTTCCAGGCACCACTGTAATATTGTCATAGTGAAAATAAGTGTGCATATCTTATCATTTAAAATGTGGTACAGAAGCCAGAAGAGTACATCAATTTTGTCCAAAGCCCTTCACTACCTAATATTATAACCAAAATGTAGCTTTAAATGATTGGAAGTCTTATTGGCTCTACGTGTCCTAAATTTTACACACAGTGAAACAACTACTAGTGAAGCTCATAAGAAATCTTCGCGTAATCAGCTCACTAGATGTATCCATGCTCTCCCTTTCCTCTGTACAGTATCTTGACTGATGTTCTAGACACTTTGTATTACAGTGCACACTTCTGCTCTGACAAGGTAGATGCACACACCTAAATTTGTGTATAAAATTGCAAATAAGTAACTCCTTTACTTTCAGTGCTATATGAATCTAATGTGCAATAAAAGGAAAAAAGTATTTGTGAATGTTTAAGCTTTGAAAAGTTAACCACTAAACCACAGGAAAAAGTTAACCACTAAACCACCTGCTGTGGAATTACTGCATGTGAGATTACTGTAGAAATTTGGAAAACAGTATAAATCTATAGGTTTTCTGCACTCATACTGCTTTACAGGTATCTGTAAGCCCCCTCCTCTCTTCCCCAAGCTCCTCCAACTGGCCTGTATGCCCTGGGGACTGAGCTCAGCGCCTGTTCACTGGGTTATATCTTCAGCCCCCTCGCTTTTTCTTTTTATTTTTTCCTTTTTAAAAAAAATTATTTTAAAGAGAGTAACAAAATAATAACATAGACAAAAACAAAACAACACAAAAACAATAAAAATGACACAGGATTTTGAAACAAAATGATAGGAATTAACAGTGGTTGTCATATTACATACTGTTATCCTCAATGAAGTTGCTCTGGTTACCAGAAGTAAGAATGCAAGATTGATCAAACCGTTAAAGAGAATTTTAAAAATATATAAAAAACATTAGAAATGATACAGAGCTTCACTAAACAAGGTGGTAGGCATTCACCAATGGTTGTTATATTGCATATTGTTGTCTTCAAATCAGTTGTTCAGATTACCAGATATAGGCATGTGAAATTGGTCCAAAAAACTAAGAATTAACTGTTCCAGTGAATACACCAATAGACATCAGCAGTATAATTATCCCAGCTATCCTTTCATATACATATATTTTTCCCTTCCTTCTTTAGAGAAGCACTAGTCTAAATGAGCCCCAGAGCTCCTTCAAAGACTGATATTCTATAATTTTTCTGATTCTTCATTAAGTATCAGACTTTTAGTAAGAGTTGAATTACAAACAGGTCTCTAACCAATAAATACTGTGATGTCTTAATGGAAGAAGTTAGTTAATCAAGCTTGTTCTTTCTATTAATTGTGTGTTGTCAAAGGCAGCTGTTCCCTCTATTAATCAATAATTTTATTTCAAAGCTATAATTATGGACTATTGGAGTTTAAACAGACATATGTTAAATAGCATCTGTGCATGTTTATGAGCAATGCTGTACAGACAAACATGAATATTCATATTTCTCAATTTCTTTGTAATGATAATTTGCATAGCAAGAAAATATTTTAAGTTCATATTGAAATATTTTCACAGTGGTACAATTTGGAAAGGGGGTACTTGGAATTGAACCTGGAGCCTTCTGCATGCTACGCAAGTTAAGTGCTCTACACAACATTGTGTTACATCCCCTACCCTTTAAGAAAAAAAATATTTATATGGGGTCTCATTAAGTTGCACAGACTGGCCTCAAACTTTTTTTTTTGTTTTTGTTTTTGTTTTTCTCCGGTACCGGGAACCGAACTCACAACCTTGCGCTTGCCAGGCAGGCGCTTTGCCGCTGAGCTAAATCCCCAGCCCCTGGCCTCAAACTTTTGATTCTCCTGCCTCGGCCTTCTGAGGAGCTGGGATTACAGATGTGTACTATTAGGCCCAGAAGTACAATTTCATTTTCCAATAAGAATGTGAACATTTACATGCATTACTGTTTAGAATTGTCAGTTTCACTCAGATTATCATTCCAGATAATCATCTAATAATTACATAGTGGTACAGTGGTGTAAATTATTAAATCTGTATTTTTAATATTTAAGCAAATATAGATAGGTAGATAATATTTTAGCAAATAAAATATATATTGATAGATACATACTGTTAAGACTGCAGAGTTTTGGAATTTATTTTCTCTGTCTAAATGAACATAGCCTGAAGAGTAACTAAAATTTTTATCAGGATAACTTTTTATAGAGATTGTTGCATCAAACGCTTCAGTGTATCCATAACCTTGAATTACAATCTTTTCAGATGCTCCAACTCGAAATACTTTGGGTGCTGAAATGACATATCTGTTGAAACAGGAAAAAAAGAATATTTTCTTATATGCTGATACTTATTTCTCTCACTTGAGATTCAATCTAAATTAGACATTTCAACTGGAAAATGATAAATCCAAATCAATTTTTTATTTTGTGATTTATGATAACTTGAGCATAGTTCCCAAGAAGAAATAGCTGTGATTAAGCCCTGAGAAATAGGGCTGGAGATCTGGGTTACATTTAGAAAGGTAAAAATACTTCCTCTGGGTTGCTGTCACCCAGGATGACTCAACAGCATTGACTAGGTGTTTAGTGTTGACTAGGTAAGTGTCCCTTTATCCCAATGAACACGAAAAGTAACACAGGCACCAGCCACACAATGCCAGCTTTGCCATCTGCTTGCCAGGTGGCTGAGGCAAAGTCACTAATCTGTGAGGCAAAAATAATTTATCTATGAAAATAACTTTTTCAAAACCTTGGCCATGGAAGGGTTAAATAAGAATGTATTCTATTAAAGCACCCAGCATGCTTAGTACTTAGTAAATAAGGTTCACTAGAGTCATTAAATTAGTTAGAGGAGGTAACCTTAGAAATATTATACTACTGGGTGGATAAAAACAAAGATAAAATACAAATGGGCTGGAGGAATGTTCTGGAAACGGAAATAGTGGTGCAGGTTCATCATCATTCTGCAACAGTAACAATAACAGTAATTGAGTAGTTATATTTCAAAGCCATGTGAGCGGTTTACATAGAATCTTTTAATCTTTATGAAAAGTGAATGATGTAGGTACTAGTATTCCTATTTTTCACATGATCGGAGGTTAATTAGACAAGGTCACATAGCTTACAAGTAAATGAGCCAGGACTTTATATTCAGTTCTTTGTCTCTTGTTATGTGTATAATTGAGGTCAAGGACACAAGCACTGATGAAGTTATAGTCTGTTTCCTTGCTATTATTTCTCACGCAAATTACACAGGAATGAAAGTGAATGTGTACAAGATTTTGAAGCAATTTTTAGTGTGATCTTTTTCATTGTCTTATTAAATGGAAACTTGCAAATACAAACTAGAGTATTAACAATACATCAGAAAGCATCTAATTTGAGGGGCTGGGGATTTAGCTCAGCTGCACAGCGCCTGCCTGGCAAGCACGACGTCGTGAGTTTGATTCCCGGTACCAGAAAAAAAACCAAACAAACCAGAAAGCATCTAATTTGAATAGTGAGGGCCATGTGCTATTACAGAGAAAAAGAAGAGTGCATCAAGCCGAAAGGGCACAGTGATTAACGAATTCAAGGGGTCCAACCGGCTTAGAGGGCAACTGTCACCCCTAGTGAAAGAACTGTGCAGGCTCTTACCAACATTATGGCATTTTAAATGTCTTTAAAAATCAGCAAGTCTTTAGTAGCAGTGAATTACCTTGGAAGCAATTAAGTCGTTTAAAGCAGCTGGTAGTTCTCCTCTGTAACTAACTGGGACCTGCTAATAGGCAAACTGAAGCATCTCCTGACTTCCAGCCATCCTCTAACCTGTATGCTCAACAGGGGACCAGACAGGTTGAGAAATGATAACAAGATACATTTTACTGCAGTCTTACTTGTTCTGAGCACTATTCTAAACACTTTATATACACAAACACACACACATGAATATAAATATATTTCATAGCATTCCTATAACTATTCAGTGAGGAGCGTTTATAATTGCTTGCATTTTAAGACAAGCAAACAGCTAATGAACTTGCCCAAGGTCACCGAGCTAGCAAGTTATAAAATTAAGGATGAACAAGAACACTAAATCTGCTGGAAGACAGAATAGGCAGATCTTTGGAAGACAGGTGTTGGCAAAGACTTTATGAACAAAACCCACATCACACAGGAATGACCACAAAGAATCAACAACTGAGTTCTCATCTTATTGAAAAGCTTTTGCACAGCAAAAGAAATCACCAGCAGAGTGAAAATACAACCCAGAGTGGGAAAAAAATTATGCCAGCTGTTCCTTAGACAAAGGACTAATATCTAGAAGATATAAAGAACTGAAAAAAATCAGACCCTCTAAATACAAAGACCCAAACCAAAAATGGGCATCTGAGTTAAATAGACATTTCTCAGAAGTAAAACTGGCAAATAAATATATGAAAAATGTTCAGCATCACTGGTTATTCAAGGGATGCAAATTGAAACAACACTGAGATTCCATGTCACTCCAGAAAGAATGGCTATCATCAAGAAATCAACCAATAACAAATGCTGGCAGGGCTGTGGGGAAAAAGGAACCCATCTCCACTGTTGGTGGGAGGGTAGGCTGTTGAAACCACTGTGAAAATCAGTGGGGATATTTCTAAAAAAACTAGGACTAGTAGTCCCATTTGACCCAGCTATTCCAGCTGTTCCTCTTCGGGGAATTTCCCCAAAGAATTAGTTTATTTTGATTTTTTTTTTGTTTTTCTTCTGGTACTGGAAATCAAACTCACAACCTTGCGCTTGCCAGGAAGGTGCTGTGCCGCTGAGCTAAATCCCCAGCCCCTGCTCTAAAGAATTAAGAGCATCATACCACAGTGATATATGTGCACACATGTTTAGAGCAGCACAGTTTGTAATAGCTAAATCTTGGAAGCAACCCAAATGCCTAGCCAATAAATGGATAAAAAAGATGTGATGATTTCATATAATGATTACTCGGCCATAAAGAAAGATAAAATTGAGACATTCATAGCCAAATGGATGGACCTTGAGACCATAATCATAAGTGAAATAAATTAGACACACGTGTAAATATCACATTATCTCTCTGGTGTGAGAAACTGAAAATGTAAATAAGAACATAACTGTGCAATAGATATTGTGAAATAGGAAGAAACTGTTCAAAATTAAAAGAGAAATAGGGAGGGAGGAGGGAGGGAAAAGGAAGAGAAAGAAAAAATGAGAAAAGAAGGATAAAATGAAAACTGTGCTCTGTGAACAGGGAGGGGAAGAGGGGATGGAAGTGGGAAAAAAACAGGAATTATGTACAGATACAAATTCCCTATAATGAATGTGGTCATTATTATACACCTAAATTGTATCAACTTAAATAAAAAATAAATAAAATTAAGGATGAACTTGAACTGCCTGTTCTCAGAATTAGCACTCTGAACAGCTGTCCTAAATTGAACTTAAGAAAATGTTTGCAATCAGAAAAATCTAGGGATTACAAGCTATTATAATTTCAATATTTTTATGGGCCTTGTTTTTCGGTTTAATATATTGTTTTGAGTAGTCTTTTGGGTGATACCAGCAAGACAAAACATTCAGTATTTAGAAGCTCCTAGAAGATGACTGTGGAACCAGCTCCTATATTTCATCTTTATTGATATTCATCAATATGAAGAATTTCATACTTTTATTTTCTCTCAAGAGCTGCAAAGAATCAGGCTGCTGAGTTTGCAAAGAGGGGAAAATGTTACTTTGGGCTTTAAAAAATAGTCTTTCCCCCTGGTATTTGCATGGTTTGCTCTCTCATGTCTGTTGTTTGTCACTTCTGTAAGAGAATCTTTCCTGTCCACATTCTGAGATAGTGCCCATCATTTCTTTATCTTCTTTGTCTTCATAGTACTAATAATTACCAGTCCTTATTTATTCATTCCTTCTTTCCTTCATTCATTATTTTGCCTCTCCAACTAGAATGTAAGCTCTAGCAATTGTCCTTTCCCATCTGCTGATCTTCACTGCTTATCACATAGTAGGTGCTCAATAAATATTTGATGACTTAGTCAAAATAATAATTACCAAGTTGTAAATGACATACTCTCCCATACTCTCCTCTTTTATTAAGGACCAATGCAGTGTAATAAAATCACTCAGAATATTCCTGGACAAGAATGATGGGACTCCAGATCATAGCACTAATTCGGCTACCAATTTGAAGCCAAATAATCTCAATCTCTATGAACTTCAGCTGCTTGTCTTTCAAAAAAAGAATGACTGCAGGGATTGACCTAGTGTGTATAAGGTTCTGGACCCAATCCCCAGTAGCAAAAGTCAATCAAACAATCAATACCACAAAGTACCGAAAGTGACAGGTGATTGTGGCCATTTTATGACATCCAGGTATATATTTATATTTGTAATATACTTAACATATTTATTTATATAAATTTATGACAAAAAAGATAAACTGAAGTGATAAACAGGATACTTTAATAAAAGCCCTGCTTTCGTCTTCTACTAGCAAGTAGCTTTTTACCAGTTACCTCCCCTGTCTGGACTTGTCCTTTTACATAAATGAATGAGTCCCATTAGGTAATGTCCAGTTACTATTCACTCCTATGGTATTATTTCCAGATAAAATATATCTAATATATAGCATAGCCAAGTGTGGTAGTGAATGCTGAGGCAAGAGGATCACTGTGAGTTCGAGATCAGCAGGGCTACATACACAGTGAAATCAAGGTCAGGCTGGGCTACAAAGTGAGTTCAGCACCAGCCTGCACTACAAAGCAAAGTGCAAGACTGTCTCAAAACACCAACACCAAAACCCAAAACAAATTTAAAAAGAATATAGTTTGAAAGAACATTTCAATAACATTGAGTATTATAAAGAATCACCTCATAAATGTAGAAGCTATTGCAACAACAGATTTTTAAATCACAGAATTAATCCCCAGGTAATTCTGGTTTAACTGTATTGCTGTGGTTTGTGTCTGGATGTCCCCCCAAATCTTCATGCAGTCATGGGGTGGGGTTCTAAAGTTTATGATTGATTCATGGTCCAAAGTTGGGATTAGGGGCAGGTAGTTGGCATATAATGTAAGGGAAGGAAAGAGGCTTGCTCTCTGCTGCTCCTCCTTTTTGCTCTTGCTGCTTTTGCTGTTTTCCGCCATCATGAACCGTTGCCCTCTGCCATGTGCCACTCTGTCTTGGAGCCAGCCAAGTATGAATTGAAACTTCCACAAACTCTGAGTAAAATAAACTTTTCCTTCCTTTATTTTGGGTGTCAGGTATTTTGTCTCAGCAACAAAAGAAAAGTAACTAAGACATTTATATAGTCCTTGAAACACAGAGAGACCGTGCGCCCCATTTTCCTGTGTTCTCCGCTCTTTTGGGGTTTTTGGTGTGTGTGTGTTATTTTTTCTCGTCTCTTGTGTCTAGTATCTTCCTTCTTATAAGTGTGATCTTTTCCCTCTTCCCCCAAAATAGAGCTGGAGATGTGGCTCAATGATAGAGCATGCCTGCATTTGATTCCTAGTATCATAAATAAATAAATAAATACATAGCAGTAAATGCTAAGAAAGTTTATCATCTTGAGCTTGTACTATTTATGAACAGAAATTTGAATAATCATGTATGCAAACTTTTCTAAATAACATCCCATAAAATTTGTCATATTGTTAGCCACTCACCAAATCAAAACGCTTCTATGACTCTTACTCAGAAATGAGACTAGCCATTTGGTGTACTCAGGAGAAAGTTATTTTCAAATTCACACAATCTGTTGATTTTACTTTTTCGCTCATCTCAGCAAAGATGCGTTGCAAAATGAAGATAGATTGCTTTACTTACATTTGTTCCTGTCCCCAACTTTTCTCCAAGAAGATTAGAAAACAAAGTATTCCCCAAAGGCCCATGACTGGAGATGGATTGTATAAAACAATGAATATAACCTTCTGGATGCTACTTTCTTTTTAAGTAAACTAAGCTTCTAGAATTTGGATAAATTAGTTCTCTGATTAATTATTAACATCAGAAAAAGGGATCTCTAAGCAAATGAAAATAAGATCAATATACCCTTTTATATCCAAGGATAAAGATGGATATTTTATAGGAATTTACACCCAGGGGACTTAGTTTAATGAATATAAATAAACAGACTCTAAAATGGGAGTTTGAGAAAATGAAGAATGCCTCACTGCTAGAAATGTGAAAGTCACATTCCCTTTGGCCTTCTTGAGACCAAGGCAGTTGCTCTGACATTATACCTGGTAGGTTTTAATTGTTTCTGATATAGACAGAGACCCACTTGGGTTCAGTTTCAGACTGAGATGATTTTAGAGTGGGTCTGAATTAGACAAAGCTCACAAGGCAGTTTTTTTAGATAAGATTTAGGTGTTAATATCCTGCTTCTGGAAATGGTCGGTCTAAGGATAATCTAGTTCTGCAAAGGGGGTCCATGGTTTGGTTCTTTGGTGTCCCCACTCTAGAAAGGAAATTGAAAGTAGAGAAAAGATTGTGACCCACAGCGAAAAGGCCATGCTAAGGATGCCGGCCTCATAAGTAATCAAATACTTCAGTAAGGAATGTGTATACTCCAATGTCTATTAATTCATATATCCCTCATTCAAAATTTCCATTTATTGTGACATGGATTTTTATGTAAAATACTGTACTTTTCAGGAGGATTTTAATAATTTTGATATAAGAGCTCAAGAAAAAGTTCTTATAACAGCTGAATCTAGTAACAAATTTATAAATGAATAAAATTTTATTGCTAAGGTATTAAATTTAACTTTATCATTTATACATGCATTAGAATTTTTATTTACATCTTTTCTATCACTGCTTTCTACCTTATTATATAATATGAAATATATTTGAAATATAACAGAAGTCTTTAAACATATTTGTATAAATTAGATATTTGTGGTCACAGTGCCATTCCTTACTTTGAATTAGTAAAGCTCTATTACCAAAATTTTAACACTAAATTTGTTAAAGAAAAAAAGGAACAGAAAGGAAAATTTGATATATAAATTTCACTAAAGATATCTTTTAGTTTTGTCATTGAATATCAAAAGTCTGTCAGTATTGTTTGACCATCTAGGCCATTTATTTCAAAGGGAATTTTGTAAAATGATTAAGCTGGATTGCAAAAGATGGGTCAAGTTAAAACAAATAGTTCTTTTGCCCTCATTTTAGGGGAAAAAAAATTATTTAGGACCAAGACAATTCAACCAACAAAGGTAATATTTTTATAGGTGCAAAGAATTTGTTTTTGTTTTTGTGTTTTGCTTGTGCTGTAACATAAATACTAATAAATAGTATTTGCAAACTGTTGGCATGCTTCTCTGGTAAAAAAATTTTTAAGACTGATAGCTCTCAAAGATTCTCAACAGGAGGAATGTTCAGTAATTGATAGACCTGCAACTGTGTTTAATTAAAAAATTTCAAACTGTCTCTATGGCTCAAAGACAGATTTTTCTTTATATATTAAGATGTGATATTTGAGTAGGCCTCTAGTTTTTGTTTTGTTTTGTTTTTGTATAAATATTGCATTTCTAAAAGAGGAGCAGCTCAAGTCTGACAGGAACTTTGATAGACACTTAGCCATTGTTAGGGTTTGGATCTTAAGTATTCTCCCAAAGGTCCTGCATTGGTCCCCAGTTTAGCAAGGTTCAGAGATGAGGCCTCTGGGAGCTGATGGGATCACGAGGGCTGTGTCCCCCTGAATGCATTAATCCACTCTGGATAGCTTTTGGGACATGTAAAATTTAGGGCGTGGAGTCTAGCCGAAGGAAATGTGTCACAGGGTTGTGCCCTTGAAGGGTGTGTTTTTTTCTCCCAGCCTCTTCCTCCTTCCCTCTTTCTTTCCTTCCAGGCTGCCAGGAGGGGAGCAGCTTTCTTCATCCACACATTTCCTCCAAGGTGTTTTTCCTCTCCTCAGACCTTAAAGCAACCAGGCCAAGCAATCCTGCACTGACATCTCTGAAACCGTGAACCAGAAATAAACTTTTCCTTCTGTGAGTTGTTTTTCTCAGGTAAACAACTTTTATCACAGCAAGAGAAAATCTGATTAACACACAGCCACCCCGCTAGTGCTACTTGAATTCTGTCCTCAGAATGGAACCCAAATGACTTAACTTTGTTCTCAAGGCCACTCCTGATCTGAATCTTGTCTGGTGGTTCTGCATGAATTTTCCCATTCTTCAATCCAGCCAGGTAGCTAGATTATTTATGGCTATTCCCTGACATGAAGGTGCTCCTGGAAAGGTGATAACTTTGTATCTGTCAAGTGAATATTTTAAAAATAGTTATTTCATACACTTAGTAAAAGCAAAGTCTAAAAACCAATTTTCTATTAATACAGACTATAGACTTTTTTTTCCACACATAGAAGGATTTTATTGAGTATGATTTTAAAGGACAAACAGCTTATAAAGAGGTGTGAGGATCACACTTCACACCTTTGATCATGAGCAATGGACAGATCAGACAGGGAACTGGGAGTTGTGCCAGTGAGTTTTTTTGTTTCTTTTTATTATTTTTTCTTTTTGGTATTTTTGAGACAGGGTCTTGCTATGCAGTTCAGACTGGCCTTGCACTCACTTTGTAGCCCAGGCTGGCCTCAAACTCAAAATCCTCCTGCCTCAGCCTCCTGAGTGCTGGGATAACAGGCATGCACCACCACACCCAGCAAGATTTTTTTTACTTCTTGATCTTGTAAGAATGCATGTCTACCAACTAAACAGGCTGACACACCCCAGAGCACTTCAGTGAGGAATTTAACCCTAGTGTACAGTTTCCTCCCCACCTAGCACACAGTTCTCTTCCCCCTTTCCTCACTGGTTTGAGTACCGGGTGGGGTTCGGTCTCCATGGTTGGTGTCTATACCCTTGACCTGCTCCTTCTATGAACATTTTGTGGGTTTTAAAAGCAAATTATTAAACTATGGGGGGTAACTTAACTGCCAATACTTTTCCAATCAGAGTTAGCATATTGAATACCATAGTTTATTGACTCTTTATCCTTCCCCCTTTGTTTGGAGACTTTTAGATGCATGACCTCAGTCATGTCCACAGGCTAATAGTTTTCCACTTAGAGGTAAAGATCCTATCCTGAAAATACACCAGTTTTGCCACAGAAAATGTATCCTCCCCAGCCCGTATACTTCAGTTTCTTAGTTGCCCAGGTAACAGTTCCAGTTGTTTCTGTCTCTTAGATATGGCTGGTCACTGTGATGTATAGCTCATCGCTATGATGCACATTGTATAAACCAATCCCCAATTGACAAGTCATTCTGCCTTGGTACTTCCTGCTTGCTTATCCCATAAAAGCCCTAGACCACCAGAGATCAGGGCCTAATATTTTGGACATGATCCCGATCTGTGCCTGTCAACATAAATAAATCTCACTCCAACTCCTGGGTGTCATTTTGGTGTTTCTGCTTGCCATTGCAGTTTAAGTTCCTATTTTTTACAGAGGCAAATTTAATCATTTACAAATGTAGCCAATACAAAGAGCACAAATATTTTGTGTTCTGTTGTTTCCAGAAATTCAGCCTACCAGATTGCTACCATCTGTTTTCTGGCTAGTGTAGGACAGGTGGTTTTGCTCATAATTGCCCCACGTAACATGCACGTACCTCTTTTGAGTCTGGAGCCTACTAGAGAAACAGAGATCTTCTCAGAATTAAATCATTCTAAACTGAGACTTCACAATCAAGCAAGGTGTATTCAATAACAGTAAGCCAGCATTAGGTGATGTGGGGTATAAGACAACATTTGTCCCTCAGTCTGCTTTATGGCTCAAGCCCTTGTGTCATGTCTTGTTCTTATTAGTAATTTATTTATTCCATCAATTGGTGGGTAAGATATGGATTCCTGCTATTGATACTGCAGAACACAGCATGCTCAGTGTGTAGTTAAGTGCTTTCCCTTAACATCAGTGTGAAACAGAATCTTAGATTTCAAACTACATCCTGTTACAGAAGCTTATAAGTAAATTTCTTTGGTTTGTTGTTTTGGTGTTGTGTATGTGTGTGTGTGTGTGTGTGTGTGTTTGTGTGTATATGTTTAAGTGGGTTTAAAAATACACTTAACTACAAAACATTGATTGAAGTCTTAAAGGAAGTTGCATGTGTGAACAGTTAGAGTGGAGCTTCCCTGTGTGAAAAGCAGTGGGAAGGTATCAGAGACCCCTTCCATGGTGCCAGTTATTAGGGACCCCTGCTGTGGTGTTACAATCTCCTGCCAGGTGTTACAATGTACAGAGAGAGAAAAAAGAGCAAGAGACAAAATAGCCGTGCAGCAGGGGTCTGGGATGACCAGGCATTCACCAGGAACAAAAGGTCATGAGGCAGCCAGAACCTTGGTATTTATTGGTTATAGCTGTGTCAAGGACAGTGGGTGAAGGGCGGTGGGTGTTTCCCAGAACAGTAATGGCAACTATGATGGGCAACTGAGAGCACATCATTCTTGCAAGGATGAGATGGGGGGAGAGGCGGGGAGTGGTGTAAGGAAACTGTAGTTTCCCCAGGTGCCTTATTAGCCTCAGCAGGTCTTAGCTTGCCCTGGGAGTCCCACAGTGTCACTAGCCCTTGGACGTTCAGCTATGACCAGAAAAAAGCAGGGAGTTTCCACATTCCACTCTGGTTCAAAGGGCAGGACAAAGATGGCCTCAGACATCCCCTAGATTCAGTTTATAATTTGTGGTTCCCACCAGGAGGACACTGAGATCTGCCCATTCCCCACATCCACCCCAAGATGGCCCTTGAGAAAGCTCCTTAGGAACCCTCAGGTTCCTGACACATGGTTTTAAAACCGTTGCCTTAAACCACCAAACAATCTCTTCCAAGTATTCTCCTTTATTTGTTCCATTTCTGTTACTTCCTTCTAACAACTTACCCAAATCAATAATTGATCAACCAAAGGAGAAATCAACTGCTATAGTGTGGA